TAGTATTTTACGCTTTACATAATCAATTATTGCAGAGAGTCTCTAGAGCTCGGCAGTTCTGGGCGTGGCATTATTATTAAAAATTTAGTTTTAATTGAAACCCCAATGAACCCATTAATAAGCAGCAAAATTCCAAATTGCGACATTTAAAATAATTGATTTAAATTTTTATTGTTCTTCTGACATTGTTTATTGTGTTTTGGTTTTTCATTCCTTGTTTACAGCTAAATGTATAACAAATTAAATAACTAAATTTTACAATCAACATTCATAGCAGCTTTGTCGGAAACCAATTTTAAATTGATATTAAATTAGGACGAGCAGCGAAAAATTTATAATGCATATTATCATTATTCTTATTATTATTATTCGTACATAAGACATTTTAACAATTGTTTCACAGTTCAGCGACATTTGTATAATTATTATTATTATTTGTATTTTGTTTTTTATTTATTAATTTTTTATTTTTACAATTACATTTATATTTAAATTGTTCTTTCGTTTAGTTTTTAGACTACGCACTACACTAACAATGATGTGTAAAAATAAATGTGATTTTTTAATTTTAGTTTTAATTTTAATTTTACTTGTCTCATAAATTTATTTGTTTTGTTTTGTTTATTACTTTTTAGCATACTCAGAGTATGCTTTTCTATAGAAATTCATTTTGTTCTTGTTTTCCTTTTTTCGCTCGTTTCTCTGTCAAAAAATGTTTAACATTTTATTTAATTATTTATTTTGCTGTAGGTAACGAGGTAAAGTGCGCCTTGTTCTGAAATCGTTGTCGATTTTGTATTTGTTGTTCATTTAGTTGGGTGGGAAGTGCGGCTGGGGGCCAGTTATCAATGCCACGCAAATAGCGAATGCGAGACGAGAAGATAGCCCGTTGTCACAATTATGCTGCCAATCATAATAGGAAAACCAACTCTGTAAACCAAAAGAAAGTAGTTGAATAATATTCAATTAGTGTTTTATCTATTTGGAATTGTTAACTGTTTGTTAGTTATTAAAACTAGATCCTTTAGTGCAATAAATTAAAGAAAAAGAAGCTGATGACAAAAATCAATTCAATATATACCTTTTTTTTTTGTAAGTAATATCCGGCTAAATTTGGACTCCTCTCAGATTCACTTAAAATAATTTCTTGGGACCGTTAATCAATAGACAATTGTTTCCCTGGCGTTCTCTTAGAGCCTTTCCTCCATCCTATTTCTATTGAATTCCTCTCATACTTTTCTTGATCTATAATTAGTTCAACCTCTCTCTCTCTCTCTCTCTCTCTCTCTTTTTGCGTCTTTATTTCTTATCAATTTTCTCACTTTGTTTTTGTTTTTGGCCTTTTTGCATTTTTTTTTAATTCCTGGTTCTTTTACTCTTTTTTTTCTTTTTTTTTCCATCACTTTCTCTATATCTGTTTTTTGTCCTGTCTCATTTTTTTCTCTTCCTCCCTTTATATCTCTTCGAGTTTATGGTCCCCTTTCCCTTTCAAGAATTCATTCTAATTTAAGACCTTACACGTATTTTTCAACCTTATAGAACAGTTTTTTTGTTGATTAGTTAAAGCAATTTGTAGAACTCACTTGAAAAACTCAAGGAATGTAAATTTGTAGCCATGTTGCTCGGCAACACCGGCACAAACAACATTCGCCGAGGCGCCAATCAAAGTGCCATTGCCTAGAAATAGAGAAAATGTTTAGAGTTTCGTATCGTATATCGTATATCGCGTATCGTATATCGTATGTCGTATATTGTAAATCATATATCCTCAATATTATTTATTGTATATTCGTATATTGTATATCGTATATTATATTTCGTATATCGTACCTCCCAAGCATGCTCCCAAAGCCAGGGCCCAGACCAGAGGCTGCAGCGGCAAATTGAGGGTGCTGTTCTGAGCCAGGGATATTGTGATCTTGACCATCATCGTGGTCAGCGGAATGTTGTCCACAAAGGCGGAAGCAATAGCAGACACCTGTAATACAATATTAGATATATAAATCATACTAGACTATTATGTATATGGACAATCGTCTCACCCATAGTATAATCAATATAGCCACCATTAGACGCCGATCCTCGCCCACGCCCAAAATAATGCCCTCTGTCATGTTGCCTATCCATTCGATCAGGCCCAGCTCTGTGAGAGCCTCCATGAGTATAAATAATGCGGCAAAGAACAACAGCGTGGACCACTCCACACGCGCCAATATCGCCTCCAAATCCTCAATGTCAGCCAGTATGATCAAAAATATAGCACCCAATAGGGCAGTCCAGCCGAGCGAGAGACGCTGCAGCTCCGGCACCGAGTGCAAGAAGAACAAGCTGATCACAAAGGCCAAGGCGGCGGTGCACTTGATCAACAGCTGTTTGTTGCGAATGGGATACTAGAGAGGGAGAGACAGGGAGAGAGGGAAATGGAAGATGATTATGAGATTATGTATACTATAGGAAACCCACCTTCGCTTGCAGATTCGCCAAAGTCTGTTGATAGTTGGGCGCTGGCTCAATGACGGCTGTCATGCGTTTCTTT